GAACACCCACCCCCAGCTCTTGGCATGGCAGTAACTTCTCATTCTTTGGTTCAGAGAAGAAGTCCTTGCTTGCTGTGATCAGTGTGGCCTCCCCTGGTTATTTGTCACCTTTTTACGTTCTTCTGATACACTTACCACAATCTAATATTTTGTTTACTGGTTGTAGCAGGTAGACCCTAGGGTGGAGTCCTTGATCCCGACCTCTGGTACACATGCCTTTGTGTGATTCCCCTCTCGAGCATGGTTGGGACCCATGATTGCTTCTAACCCACAGAATATGGTGAAAGTGACAAGATACATGTGATTACACATACGTGATTACGCTACATAAGAATGTAATGCCTGCCTTGCTAAGAGAATCTCTTGGTGGCTTCCAAGATGCAAGTTGCCACGTGTGAGGTGCCATATAGCCTGAAAAGAACTGGATGCTGCCAATGACCATGTGGGCTTGGACGTGGATCCTTCCCCGGTTGAACCTCAAATGAGAACCCAGCCCTGGCAACACTGCGCTTGCAGTCTTGCAAAGGACCCAGCTAAGCCAGGACTCCTAACACACTGAAAATGTGAGATAACATAGATTCTTTTAAGTCTATAGTTTGTCGTAAACTGTTCTACAGCAACCGTTAATACACTTGTTAAGCGACTCGTGTTAGAAAGTAAACGGCTGGAGGCCAGAGACCTTTTCATTTTTCATTACGGCCCAGCTGGGTAGATAGCATAGACAGATGAGAGCAGATACTTGCATGAAGAAAAGACAGATTTAATAAACACCAATTATTAATACTCCATGTGCTGGCAGGAGTAGCAGTTCTTTTTCTCTAAGAGGTAAAAAGCCACCTTTAGGGACACGCGTGGCTGTCATGGGATTCAGAAGTTTCCAGATTAAGGCTTTTATGTCCTGTAAGTAGGACAAGTAGCGGGCTTTTTATTTTGTCTGCCCAGCAAGTATTTCCTCTCTGTCTCCTATTCCTTTGGGACTATGCACCCCACCCTAGGCAAAATCAGTGGGGCTGACGTAAACCATCCCCTGGCTCCGGCATGAACCTATGGCGCGGCCCTGCCCCATTGGCATAGTCCACCCTCCCGACCACTGTGATTGGTTCAGGATTGCTCACATGACTCAAGTCTGTCCAATCAGAGCCAAACCCAGAAGCTGACGTATTAAAGCCAGAGCTGCTGGGACCTCCATGTATGCAGGGCCTGCCTGGAAAAGCCCCTCACACGAGGAAAGCAATGCTGAGGGATGAAGAGAGATGCCTCAAGATGCCGCTTGAGCCCCTGGATCCAGCCGTGTCTGAAAATCTACCCCCTGGCTTTTTAGTTGAGTGAAAGGAACTCCCCCCTTCTGCCCACCCCCCCAATGCCACTTTGGGTGGAGGGTCTATCACGAGCCCTATTACCCGGGATCTGCCATGAAATCAACGGAGAAGGAATAAGGGGGGGTCTGATGTCTAGGGGGTGAAATAAAGAGTAAAGAAAAAAAGCTCATCTATATAAATAGTTAATAAAATGCCACAGCAGACCACTGAAGGGGAAATCCCACAGGATTTTAAAAGCTTGTTTAGTCCGTTAGCATTTTCATAGGATTTTTACAGAAATGGCTTAACAAGCCAAGTTCTTTCAAACAATACAGAAGTATCAAGTGCAAATATTTTAAAGAGTAACGACACTTAACAGTACTCAACATGGAAACTCTTTAGATTTTTTTCAAAAGTGCCCTTGGCCATAAAGTTAACTTTGGACTTTATTTTTTATCCAAATCTGTCTGAGAAGCCATTATTGCCAAATGTTGCTGGTTTTTCTGATAAAAAGCTAATAAGGCAGAAGAGCTTGATCTGTTTTGCTCTTTCCCCACTTTGTTTCAAATAAGTGAAGATATAAACAGGTTCTCTCATTTCTGAAAAAAAAAAAGAAAAAAAAAATCCACAGTTGCCCCAAACTGGGCCCTTGGACACAAGACTGAGTCTTTGGGGTCAAGCTGCCAGGCTGTAGAGGCTCAGGACTGGGCCAAGGTCAAGTCTGCACACTGGGGAGGAAGGGTGAAAGGCAAGGAGGTGCTGAGCCACTGCAGTTCTCTGCTAATTCTCATGTGAGGGTGGATCAGCCAACGGAACCACAGGACTCAGGCAAAAGCAACAAGATCCCCAAAGTGGACCCCGTGGGATCCTAGGAATATGTGAAAAAGCTAGAGGACACTTCCAAGGAGTGCTTGACCACCCAGTCCCCTTCTGAGTCATAATCCCAAGGGCTGAGTATGATCTACAGCCTTCAAGAAGTGCTTGGAAAAAGCTCTGGCTCCGCTGGGCCGGTCATTCCTGGTAGAGCCCCTCTAAGTCTGCGGACTTCATAGCCAGCTGACAGTCACCACTGGAGTTTTGTTGTGTCAGAGGTCTGTTTGGTAACAAGAGGAAATGGTTAGCTCTAGGGCCTCTTTGAAGAGCTTTAATGTTGAGAGTGCACAAAGCTGAATATATGATATTCTTTGTTGGTTTATTTTTAGCTGCTTCTTGCAACCACACCAGATTTAGATTTAAGGCTATACCTATTTTATAGATGAGGAAACTCAGAGCACAAGAGGTTAAAATGACTGAGTTAGGGGTAGGGATTACGCCCCTTCCCCCTATTCTAATTTGGGTATTGCAAATGAGCAGTGCATGAAGTTACAAAAACATGCACGGTAAAAGATCTAAAAAAAGTACAAGACAGACAAGGGGATTTTAATACAACAAAGTAAAAACGGTCACATTTCAATTAACCTTTAAGAAACTACCACTTATTGAGTTTTGGTGTACTATCAAAGAAGAACATCCATAGTGGTCTGAAAAAGCTTTTCCTCCCTTTGCCAGCCACACATTTGTGAGGCTGGGTCTTCAAAACCCAGCTGACGTCTATTAAGGCAGACATTAAAGATATTTGTGAAATGCAGGGGCGCCTGGGTGGCTCAGTTGGTTAATCATCTGCCTTCGACTCAGGTCATGATCCCAGAGTCTTGGGATTGAGCCCCGAGTGGGGATCCCTGCCCAGTGGGGAGCCTGCTTCTCCCTCTCCCTCTACTCCTCCAGCCCCCGGGCTTGTGTGCACTCTTTCTCTAACAAATGAATAAAATCTTAAATTAAAAAAAGATATTTGTGAAATGTAAAACTCAGTCATTTCATTTTGTATTGGAAAATATAGTTACTTTTCATAGAGATGTTATTTATATCAACAGGTAATGCTGTCCGTTTTAAATGAGTATTTTTCAAATTTGTTAATTTCTACTACAGTAATTATTGATCCATTTAAACCACATAAACAAAACCTTGGGAAGACTCAGTAATTTTAAGAAGGCAAAATGTGTCCAGAGAACAAAAAGCTTGAGAACCACCGCCCTAGTGAAAACAATGGGTCCAGGTGCCTCAGTTGGGAGGAGGAGGGGCGTATAAGGAGATGAAGGGCAAATCTTGGAAATCTTTTTAATCTCTTCATTGACAAACAGGTGGTATTCAGCTTTTGTTACTCCTTGTGGTATAACAGAGCAGGGTTCAGAGGCAGGGAGAGATTTTTGGCTCAGAAGCATCAGCTTTAATAAGCCAAATTCTCCTTTTAACCCCTTTAAGACTGATAGTGATCAAAAAACAATTTATAAGAAGCTGGATGTAATTCCAGGGATATCAACCAGGCAATCCTGTGACAACCAGCCCTGAGCTATTTTAAATTATACCCACTTCACATTTTATTTTCTAATCTGAGTAACAACAGGATAACATTTTGGTAAGAAGTTCAAGGGCTACTCTATAGAAAAACAAAATTCAGGATATTGGTTCTTTTAGAGCAAGGGTTGGCAAATTCTTGGGCCTGTCTTTGTAAATAAAGTTTTATTGGAACACAGCCATGCTCACTTGTTTTCTTATTGACTATGTTGCTTTTTGGCTACAGCAGCAGAGTTGAGGTGTTGCAATAAGGACCACATGGCCCGCAACGCCTAAAATATTTATCATCTGGCCCCTTACAGAAATTGTCTGCTGACTCCTGTTTTGGAATCACTTGGAATCTTGGTTAAGAGGTTTTGGAGTTAACTGACCTGCATTTAAGTCCCTTCTCTGTTACACTTTGCTTTGGGATTTGGTTTCATTTCCCTGGTCACAGGATGGAGCTAGAACCTGCCTCACAGGGTGGTTGTGAGGATTACATGAGCTAAGGCCTGGAAAGTGCATAACAGAGTCCCTGGCCGGAGCAAGTACTTGATGGGTATTAGCCACTCTCATCAATTAAGCAAGAGCTTAAAGGAAGCACAGTGGAGTCACGTCCTACTTGAGACTTAGATTCTAAATTCAACAAAGAGAAAAAGATAAAAATCAAGCATTAAAAAAAAAATCATCACTGAAAATCCCTCAGGAGGGTGGCCCATTATAGACAAACAGACTGTCTTACAGTAATTCCAGCATAGCTGGTTTTCCCTCTAGCATTTAAATAGATCACTGTTCCTTCAGCTGAGGCTCCAGATGAAGGGTAGCTGGCATTTAGGAGCCATAATGTAGGAACAAAATCCATACCATCAAACACAAGATCACACTCAGTATGGTGACACACTCACATTCTGAAGAGCAAAGAGAATGAAGATAGACATTGGGAACAGCAGATTCACAGCCCCCTGTATCATCCTGAGATATGTGCATGGTGAGTGGAATGGTGGCTCATTATTCTTGTAGCCTCCCCGCAAAAAACACCTTATTTTGAAGTTTTGTAAATTTAATGGCGTCTTTTAAAAGGAATCAATAACAATTACTTCATAGTGTTGCCACAACAAAATGAGTAATTGTGTGTGGTGGATGATGACAGCATTTTTTTTTTGTTTGAAACTCCACTGTCAATTCTCATTCGATGTCTGATGTGTATGGGAAACTATACAGAACACCGGCCTCTCACAACTTTACTCCTAGACATCCAACTAGGGTTAGGGTAGTATTTGTGAAAATCCCCCAAATGGTAAAGATTAAATTACTGCATTAACATGTATTTACCTGGGAGGAAACCAGTAGTTGACAAGGCTGGAGACCACGACGTAGGACACTATGATTGTCCCCGACATGGCGAGTGATACGAAGCTCAAGCCACAGAGGACACAAAGCAGTGAGAGGCCGCCCACTGAGATGACCAGTCCTAGAGGAGAGCATAGTTAGAAGCATTCAGCTAAAACAAACTGAAAGCTGCCAGACCCCAAGCCACTGTGTTTATGACAGTTAACTCAGATTTTTTAAGTGAGGAGATTTCTCATAAAAATCCAGATTTCCAGCATCACTTAAAAAGGAGGTAATCTAACAACCCGAGGGGGCCTCACTGCAAGGCAAACATCCTTTTCCTTGCCTTGGGAAGGGTCAAACAGCTCAGAACTCCAACCTCATGGCTACAGTGATATAATTTCAGGGACGGACCCTGCAAAGGAAGGAAATCAGAGAATATAAATGGATGTGCTGCCTTTTCACAAAGATTTACAAAATCCTCGATCTGTGTTTTTCCAAGTGTGGTGGACAACCACTGTATCAGAACCCGATGCCTCAGGAAGGCTTGTGTAAAATTCTGATTTCTGGACCCCACTCCAGAACTACTAAATAACCATCTCTGGATGAGGCCTCGAAGTATGCATTTTCAAAAAACAAGTAAACTTATGCACACTCAAGTTCTAGACTATTGTTCTAAAGGCTTTGTATGTGCTATTCCTGTTTAGAAAGTCTTTTCTTCCCCAAAGGAAACAAAAGTTGTTACAGGTCTTTAAATCCTGTCCTCTGGGGGCGCCTGGGTGGCTCAGATGGTTAAGCATCTGCCTTCGGCTCAGGTCATGATCCCAGGGTCCTGGGATCGAGTCCCACATCGGGCTCCTGACTCAGCGGGGAGCCTGCTTCTTCCTCTCCCTCTGCCTCTCCCACTGCTCATGCTCTCTCTCTCTCTCTGTATCTCTGTGTCTCAAATGAATAAATAAAATCTTAAAAAAAAAAAAAAAAAAAAAAAAAAAAAATCCTGTCCTCTGTAGAGCTTTGCACAACAGGACCAAAAGTGGCTCCCTTCTCCTAAATTTGCTTTTGCTACAATCCTCATTCACTCCTCCACCCATTCATTCATCCATCCATCTATCCATCCCTATTTACTCAGCAGCTTCTCCGCCAGGCTGTATTTTGCCCATCCATTGACGATGCCCACCTTCTCCTTCAGGGGTAAATTGCCTTATCCACAGTCCCCTGGGCAGGGAAACAACTCTGGGTGCTCTTAGCTCTGGGAAGCCCTAGGATAAACCAATGACCCAATGGCAACCAGCTCTATGGCCAGCATCTTGTGGTTTGTGATCTGACACGAAAAAGCAAACTGAGCCAATCAGATCTGCCTTCTCAGTAATTTTGCCTTAGCAACAGAGGGAGAAGGTGACAGTTGGCAGTGTGACCTCAGGAGGAAAGGTGGAGAAGGGGGAACATTAGTGCCTAGCAAGACACCTGGCATGCAACAGGTGTTCAATAACGAGGTGTGGAATAAATTGGACTCTGTTACCATTCGTGCTGAAGCCACTCTGTACCATGGGCTCTGCTAAGCATTTTATGGGACTCTAACTTTCAATCCCTACCACAACCCTTTGAGACAGTTTTATTATTTCCCCAGTTTACATATGAGGAGTTTGAGGTTCAGAGAGGGTAAGTAACTTGTCCAAAATCGCACTGGTGGAGGTAGGATTCTAATGTGGACTCCAAAGTCCATCTTGTAACTACTCTGACAATCCGCCTCAGTCACTGTGACCTTTTCAGGAACAGGAACATTGGATGAGAGTGGCAGCTACCCAATAAATACCCGTACCCCCAGCTGACTCATTTTCCAAAGGGGTTGAACAGATAAGCAGGATACCTTCCAGTAAAATGACTCCCACAAAAGCAGCCAGGGAGGTAAGCACCACGATGAGCAGGAAGAACCCGACAGGAATGGCTGACATGACCACAAACACCAGCACGGTGAGGGCCATGAAAGGGTGCCTGTCCAGGTACTGCCCCACCGGAGACTTCATGAAGGCAACCATCTGCGGGCAAGACAGAAAGAGCCAGGACTGAACGCCATGTCTGAAGCACAGGCTGATGGATCCACCTGGGCTGCAGGAAGTATGACTAGAGGCTGGAAAGTTGGAGGGCTCGTAAGGAACCTAACAAGTCAACACTAACAATTCTCCCAAGGCATGAGTCACCCTGGCAACAACTTAAGGAAGCTGTAGACAGATGGCAAATTTGCGGGTCCCACCCAACCTCAAGTCTTGTGAAAGGAGGAAAGACCTGGTCATGGTTCTACCACTTCACATACACCCTCCCAAGGGGCCCTCGGCACGTGTGCGCATGGATGTAACGTCCACACGATTTATCTCCTGCTGCATAGCTGAGGTTTCAGAGCCACAGCCACTGAGGCACATAGAGGTTAAGTCCTCACTACTTGGCATCACTTGGGAGCTTGTTAGAAGCTCAGCATCTCAAGCTCTGCCCCAGACCAGCTAAATCAGGTGCTGATTTTTAAAGAGAGCCCCAAGTGACCTGTATACACATGAAAGTCTGAGAAAGCAATGGGACTTGCCTAGAGTCACACAGTTTCCAAGTGGCAAAATCTAGGCTCTCAAAGATGAATTTTTCACTCTAAATGTCAAATGCTTGCAATGGCTGCCATCTTGTTAGGAAAAAATGCATGCATGTCATCAACGTGGATACCACAGTCAGGCCACAGCCTGATGACTACTGCAGGCTTATGCTGTGTTAATGAACAAGCTATCTTCCTTCATCAGGCAAGAATTTGTGGATCTGGCTCAGTGGAGGAGGGCTGCTTTAATGCAGAACTGACCCTAGAAAATCCACAAGGATGGGCTCCCCCCGTCTTCTTAAGCCCCATTCCATTTCTCTCCTCACTACTGACATTAGTTCCTGTTCTCTTGAAAGGTTCCATCATTCCAGAACTTTTCCCCATCAAAACCTTCACAGACATTGGGGAGGGTATGTGCTATGGTGAGCGCTGGGTATTGTGCAAGACTGTGGAATCACAGATCTGTACCTCTGAAACAAATAATATATGTTAAAAAAAAAAAGAAGAAGAAGATAGCAGGAGGGGAAGAATGAAGGGGGGAATCGGAGGGGGAGATGAACCACGAGAGACGATGGACTCTGAAAAACAAACTGAGGGTTCTAGAGGGGAGGGGGGTGGGAGGATGGATTAGCCTGGTGATGGGTATTAAAGAGGGCACGTTCTGCGTGGAGCACTGGGTGTTATACGCAAACAATGAATCATGGAACACTGCATCAAAAACTAATGATGTAATGTATGGTGATTAACATAACATAATAAAAAAAATACTCTTAAAAAAAAAAAACAAACCTTCCCAGGTCTCATTCCTTAAGGCCTTATGGCAGCTGAAATGAGGAGGAAATTCAAGCTATGGCAATCATTGTTACCACTACCCAAAACACACGTGCCTCCTAGTGACTCCAATGGTGGGAATCTGGGGGCCAGCTGGAAGACAGGAGGGTTTTGTAGCTCAAGGTGATGGTGATCAAAGTGCAGGGTTCATGCTGCTTAACTAGAAAAGGCTGTTGTTCCAAGAAGCCGCTGCCATCGGTCTTGGGGCTTCAGCATTGCCTCCTTAGGAGAATCTCCAGGCCTGACAAATTTCACTTCCAGTCAGGCCACAAAAACAAAACAAAACAAAACACAGCACAATGCCCACCAGCTATACTGCCTCTAGCTACTCTTGAGAAAAGCTACCGGACTTGGCTATTCCACTTCTCTCGCCAGAGGGGACTATACTAGGAATGCCTGGCTCAGATAATCAGAACCCAGTGAGACTCTCCAGTTAAGGCAGCTGAAGGTGAGCGAGGAGGGGTCACGGGAGCGGGGCTGGTCCCTGGAGCTGTCGAAAGTCTTGATTGCTTTCTGGCTCTAAAGTCCACATACATTCTTAGTAAAACCACCCAGGCATCCTCTGACAGACTGAACTGTTCTCTCTGGTCCTTACCATCAAGAGACCCAGTAACCACAGTGGGGAGCAGATGAGGCTGGAACACTTGAAGGCCAGGCTTATGAATTTACACCCGGACCCCCCAGCATAGCAACCACATGTGGCCACTGCACACCTGAAATGTGGCTAGTGTCACTGATGAACGGGATTTTTAACTTTAATTTCTATTTAAAAACTGAGAGATGGTTCAGTCACTGGAATATTTTGAATTACATTTCAAATAAGTTAGGTACGTGTCAAATAAATTTTTCAAATGTAAATTTTATGAAATCTGAACAGAGAGCGAGTATTTTCAATGGAAATTTAGTATCTGAATTGAGACTTGCACTAAGTGTATTAAAAAATGTAAACTATCTCATCGCTAATTTTTTATATTATTACATGTTGAAATTATATTGTTCTGGATATACTGGGTTATATAAAATATATTGCTAAAATTAATTTTTCATCTTTCTTTTCATGCTTTTTAATATGACTACTAGCAAATTTAAAAATCTCTACACGGGTTACATAATATTTCCATTGTAAAGCACTCAAGTTTAAATTTTAAGTTTTAACTAAAGTTTAATCTTTATCTTGGAAAAAACAGGACGCAAACTGTTGGCATTCGAGGATTACGATATAATCAAAGGACTAATTTAGGAAATAAGAACATGGCCGTAATGTGCAAAAGGCAATTATGAAGATTTGCAGGAAGTCAGGCAAGAGACACTGATGGCGAAATCTAGGCTGTTGGCAATATGAAAATGTAATGACAAAAGAAACATCAATAGGACTTGGGGACAGTTTGGCATGGGGATCCAAAAGGAGAAAAGCAGAACTGTTCTTCCAGACCCTAAGGAATCTATTTTTCTCTTAGCCTCTTCTGAGTCTGGGCCCTATAACCAAAAAATAGAAAGTCATTCAGATATGCAGAGAGACCATTTAAGATGCAGTTAAGTCCAGAAATTGTCTTCCCTCAGGACGGATGGCCCTGCTCAGGCCAGTCTGTCACAGAAGGGGAGGACAGGATTCAGTCACACCTAATAATAGAGAATGTTCATTAAACACTCAGGGGCCAAGCGCTGTTTTAAGTGTTTTCAATGTATTTCCTCATTTATTTCTCCCTTCAATGCCCAGGAGCAGGTAATGAGGAACATTATTTAAATCCAGGGAATTAGAACACAGCAATTCACTTCTCATTCTCATGGCAACAGAGAGGGGTTCAATGGGAGGATGGAAAGGTAGACGGCTTAGTTCACAGTAACATGAACTGCAATTTTCCATCCCTCTCCTGGAAGCAGACACATGTCATCCAACCTGGATTTTTCAGGCATGGTGCTGTGCTGAAGAACTCAGGAATGCCAGGCTGGGACAGACTACCACCATTAGGTGCCAGGCTCTGTGCTACAGCCCTCTCCAACAGCTTCTGAGATTATCCTCACAACAAACCGATGAGCCTGCCATTGCTTATTTTAGAGAAGAGGTGATGGAGATTCAGTGGCCTAAGCAACTCACCCAAGGTCAGACAAAGGCAATTTATTTTAAAATTCACACAAGTATGGCAAGTTCCAAAGTAGGGGTAATGTGGCCAGTATTTAAGGACCTGAAGGTTCCATCTGGAACTATTCAGGAGACAGGCCAATTCCCTGGTGACAGAATGCAAAACACAGAATGCAAAAGACAATCAGTGTCCACTGTCCCTTGCTACCAGAGAGGAGGAGGATGAAGGCGTCAGGATTATTTAAAACCACTGGTAAGACAGAACACATGAATAAGAGGAGGGAGAAGAACCATATGGTCCTCTCAATTGATACAGAAAAAGCATTTGAGAAAATACAACACCCTTTCCTGATTAAAACTCTTCAGAGTATAGGGATAGAGGGAACATTCCTCAAGTTCATAAAATCCATCTATGAGAAAAACCCACAGCGAATATCATCCTCAATGGGGAAAAGCTGAGAGCCTTTCCCTTAAGATCAGGAACACATCAAAGATGCCTACTCTCGCCACTATTGTTCAACATAGTACTAGAAGTCTATGCAACGGCAATCAGACAACAGAAAGAAATCAAAGGTATTCAAATTGGCAAAGAAGAAGTCAAACTCTCTTTTTGCAGACGACATGATACTTTATGTGGAAAATCCAAAAGACTCCACCCCCAAATTACTAGAACTCATACAGCAATTCAGTAATGTGGCAGGATACAAAATCAATGCACAGAAATCAGTTTCTTTCTTATACACTAACAATGCAAAGAGAAATTAGAGAAACTATTCCATTTACAATAGCACCAAAAACCATAAGATACCTCGGAATAAATCTAACCAAAGAGGTAAAGGATCTATACTCTAGGAACTACAGAACACTCATGAAAGAAATTGAAGAAGACACAAAGATGGAAAAATATTCCATGCTCATAAATCGGAAGAATAAACATTGTTAAAATGTCTATGCTGCCCAGAGCAATCGATACCTCCAATGCCACCCCGATCAAAATTCCAATGACATTTTTCAAAGTGCTGGAACAAACAATCCTAAAATTTGTATGGAATCAGAAAAGACCCCGAATCACCAAGGAAATGTTGAAAAAGAAAAACAAAGCTGGTGGCATCACGTTGCCTGATTTCAAGCTATATTACAAAGCAGTGATCACCAAGACAGTATGGTACTGGCACAAAAAAAGACATACAGACCAACGGAACAGAACAGCGAACCCAGATACGGACCCTCAACTTTATGGTCAAATAATCTTCGACAAAGCAGGAAAAAACATGCAACGGAAAAAAGACAGTCTCTTCAATAAATGGTGCTGGGAAAATTGGACAGCCACATGAAGAATGAAACTCAACCATTCTCTAACACCATACACAAAGATAAACTCAAAATGGATGAAAGACCTCAATGTGAGACAGGAATCCATCAAAATCCTAGGGGAGAACATAGGCAGTAACCTCTTTGACATCGCCCACAGCAATTTCTTTCAAGATACATCTCCAGAGGCTAGTGAAACAAAAGCAAAAATGAACTTTTGGGACTTCATCAAGATAAAAAGCTTCTGCACAGCAAAGGAAACAGTCAACAAAACAAAGAGGCAACCCACAGAATGGGAGAAGATATTTGCAAATGACACTACAGATAAAGGGCTGGTATCCAAAATCTATAAAGAACTTCTCAAACTCAACACCCAAAAAACAAGTAACCAAGTCAAAAAATGGGCAGAAGATATGAAAAGACACTTCTCTGAAGAAGACACAAATGGCTAATAGACATATGAAAAAATGTTCATCATCATTAGCCATCAGGGAAATTCAAATCAAAACCACACTGAGATACGACCTTATGCCAGTTAGAATGGCAAAAATTGACAAGGCAAGAAACAACAAATGTTGGAGAGGTTGTGGAGAAAGGGGAACCCTCTTACACTGTTGGTGGGAATGCAAGTTGGTACAGCCACTTTGGAAAACAGTGTGGAGGTGCCTCAAAAAGTTAAAAATAGAGCTACCCTATGACCCAGCAATTGCACTCCTGGGTATTTACCCCAAAGACACAGATGTAGTGAAAAGAAGGGCCATATGCACCCCAATGTTCACAGCAGCAATGTCCACAATAGCCAAACTGTGGAAAGAGCTGAGATGCCCTTCAACAGATGAATGGATAAAGAAGATGTGGTCCATAAATACAATGGAATGTTACTCAACCATCAGAAAGGATGAATACCCAGCATTTGCATCGACCTGGATGGAACTGGAGGGGATTATGCTAAGTGAAATAAGTCAAGCAGAGAAAGTCAATTATCATACGGTTTCACTTATTTGTGGAACATAAGGAATAGCATGAAGGACATTAGGAGAAGGAAGGGAAAAATGAAGCGGGGGGGAAAATTGGAGGGAGAGATGAACCATGAGAGACTATGGACTCTGAGAAACAAACAGGGTTTTAGGGGGAGGGGGGAGGGGGGGTTGGTTAGCCCGGTGATGGGTATTAAGGAGGGCATGTACTGCATGGAGCACTGGGTGTTAAACGAAAACAATGGATCTGGATCACCACATCAAAAACTAATGATGTATTGTATGGTGACTAACATAATAAAATTAAAAAATAATAATAAAAAAAATAAAAAATAAAACCACTGGTAAGGGCACCTGGGTGGCTCAGTCGGTTAAGGATCTGCCTTCAGCTCAGGTCATGATCTCAAGATCCTGGGACTGAGTCCCACATCGGGCTCTCTGCTCAGTGGGGAGTCTGCTTCTCCCACTCACTCTCCCTCCGTGCTGTCCCTCTCTCTCTCAAATAAATAAAATCTTAAAAAACAAAAAACAAAACAAAAAGACCACTGGTAATGACAAATCCTGTGTTAAGAGTTTACAGTTAACAGTCCCTGGGTGCCCTCTGGCATGTGATTCAGGGTTGGCACAAAGATGCCAGAAACGTAGTTCAAAAACATCCCTTGTGGAAGGAATGGGCCAGCATGGGAGCAAAATAGTCATAGGTAATCCACAGGTGGAGATGCCATCAGGGGACAACTGCCCAGCCCATGTTCCTTCTGTCTTCCCTCCTCTTTGAACCCTGCTCCCTCTCATAGCAGGGGTACGCTCCTTAAGCCATGTTTCTCTCCATGAAATGAAAAGTCCCAGCCCAGCTGCCACCTCCCTGGCCACAGGTGACTTGGTCAAGCGGATTCTTGATCCCAGGAATCAGGCATTCCCAGAGCAAGCCCATTAGAGGGCCTCAGCTGGGAGCTGAGGGAGACAAAGCGAGTTGAAGGTGCCAACCTGGGCAGTCGTGATGGCCCATGTGAATGGAAGAGCAAGAAAGTCAACCTGTAGAGAGAGGAGAATGAAGCTGATGTACAAGGAAAAGTTACAACCAGAAGCAACATGGCCCAGGAGGGGGTGTTGAGAGTTACCTCTGACCCCAGTGACCTGCCAGACCCTGATTCACTTCCTGCCCTTGTTTTCTAAGACAGTCTCCCATTTCCCCAAAGTCCCGGCAGGTCTCAGTATTCGTCTGCTTAAGCTATTTCGAGCGGGTTTCTGACAATCTCAGCCTATGTCAATGAAGACTTGACATTCCAGAGGCTTCCTAGAAGAAATTATGAAGTTGTTTCACAAACACTCCATGTAGAAGCCCATCTGGTCTTTTCTGGAATTTCAAGGGCCTATTAACTCTGAGGAAAGGTTAAAAATTATTTGGGGAAAAGAAATCATCTAAATATCCCAGAAACAAGGGGATGCTTATGTAAATTATGGTTATGTCAATCTGATGGAAGGTTCTACTACCAACCATTTGGAGGACCTAAGATTCAATATGGAAAAACACCAATATGCAGTATCAAACAAAAATAAAAATACAGGACTATATCTACCATAATTACAACCACTACATATGAAAATTACATACTGAAGGGGCCTACTAATTATAATAATCACCATCAATGGATTTGTTACTGATGGGTTTACAGGTGATTTGCTTTCCTTTTTCCTCAATATTACTCTGAGTTAATACAACTCACATTAATTAATTAACATAATACAAAATTTTAAAAGAAGCTACTCTACCTTAGGACTATCCAAAGAACATCAGGACTTAGTCAGCTGATAATCTGTCCTATCACTCTGGGAGTTGGCTGGCCTAGAAGTTATCCAGCCCAAATCTATTCCAATGACCACGACTGAGGATCTACAATGACGAAGTAAAGAAATGCCAAGAAACCAAAGTTCATATGCTTTGAAATGTCTACTTCAGAATGTAGACGTGAATATTAAATAAGATGTGCAAAAATGCCTAACACAGTGCTTGGCATATAGTAAGTGCTCAATCAGGGTTCATCAATTTACCGTCAATCCCTATTACTTGCAGATTCTATATTTGCAAATTCACCTACTCACCAAAATTTATTTGAAACTCCAAAATCAATATTTGTGGTGCTTTCAAGAATGTGTACAGAGCATGGGAAAATTTAAGTCACCTGAAACACATGGTCTCAGCTGAGGTCAACTAGGCAATGCTCTTATTTCAGCTCTTTCAACAACTATCCTTTCCAAGGTATATTTAGTGCCACCTTTTCTTATATCTTATATCTTTTGCTGGTAATTTCACCATTTAAAATAGCAGAAGTACTATCTTGTGTTCTTCACCCTTCAGAAGGGTGTGATCCGCCTTAAGAGAAAATAGGTGTGTTAGATAAGCTTTGTTCAGGCAAGAGCTATAGCGCTATTGGCCATGAGTTTAACGTTAATGAATCAACAACATATACTAAATAAGTTGTCTTTAAACAGAAATACCCATACAACAGTTTATATACTTACCAGTTGATGAAAACGTTGTGACCAGAAATTTGCCAGACACTAATCCTGTAGTTCCGCTGGGAGACATTATTCAGCAGTTGTTTGAGGTGCCCCCAGAGAACATAACTAACACATATAATGAAAACCAAACGCACATGTAGATGAGCAGGAGGACCTTTCTTACTAAGCTAACTTTTAGTAACAAGAGTCTCAGCCTGCTGACTAGAAAGCTGCTTGGCCAATTTAAAAATAGCTTGCTAACTCCACAAAGAGGGCCAGAGGCATTTTGGGACAAGTCCAGGAAAGATCTCTATAGAGTATATTGCTCTATACTGCAATGTCCTGTCTCTTCAAATAGACCCGAGGGGAACCATGCTGTCCAATACAAAAAATAGATCACAAACCAGTTCGTTTTCTTACATGCACATATGTATTTTGTGGGTATTTTGTATAGGAAAAAAACATCTAGAGGGAAATACAACAAAATGTTAATATTATCTCTGAGAGCTGTTATTTTTTTCACTGACAAAATGCTTAATGACATATAGAAGCAAGAAAGAAAAAATTCGAGAAAGTAGAATATGCTATCTCAGGCCCCATTGCCCCAGAATGGCTACTGAATACCTGAAAAGTGGCTAATTCAAATGGAAATGTGCCGTTAAGTGTAAAATATTCACTGGATTTTGAAGACTTATTACAAAAAAGAATACAGAACATCTCAGTAACTTTTTTCATTAATAACTCTTTATGATTACATATTGAAATGATATTTAGATATATTTGGCTAAATAAATTAAAATTAATTTTACCCACTTTTTACATTTCAAATGTGGCTACTAGAAAATTTTAAATTACATATGTGGTTCACATCATACTTCTATTGGACGCTGAGTTTCTAGTGGAAAACTGGACTCAAATTTTAAAGTTGGCTTTAGCCCGTCAGTCTCAGGTAACAGGGCAAAATTCACAACAAAACAAAATAAAAAAGTATGGTATCTGTGGCACAGACTGAGACCCACCCTCTATATCCAGCTAAAGAACTACATTTACCCCGAGGGTAGACGTGCAACTAAATTCTGGTCTACGAGATGTAACTGGAAGTGCTGTGTGTGTGACTTCCAGGAAGTCACCTTAAATTAGAGGTGGCTTGTAAGTCTTTCTCCCTTTTCCTCCTCCATCCTTACTGCCTGGAATGTGAATACAATGGCTGATGCTTTAGCAGCCATCTTGGACAATGAGTTTGAAGATCACAATTTAGACACCATGGCAGGGTGGTGAATTACAAAGATTCCTGACCTACCTCCAAATTTCTACTTCAGAGAGAAATAACCTTCTATGGTGTTTAAGCTGCTGTTATTTTGGGATTTTCCATTACACAGCCTGATTGGAAACTGACCTTTGAGTTATTCTGGATGGATTCTACCAGCAAAGACAGCTTCTTCTGCAGCTCCTGCAAGTCCTTTGAGGTACTCGGGGGCTCCTCTTTTGTCATCCTGAAACCCACTCCGGTCTCTTTAGGGATTAATGCTTCTACCATTAAGCTGTCCAGGGCAGGGCGCAGTCGAATCTCATGTCACCCAGTCTCTTGCTGTCACTGGGGAAACAAAAAGTACCTTGAACCATTAGTAGTATTCACCCAGCTAGTTCAACAAAAGCTTCTACTATCCTTACACATTAGATGGAGGGTGGCTTGGCAATATCTATCAGAATTTCTAAGTGCACACGACTTTATCCAACAACTTATTTTCCAGGAATCTGAAGGAAATAATCAAATAGGTATATCAAAACATACAAAAAGGATGTGCAATTCTATGTATAGTATATAATAAACAGCAAAACACTGGAAAGAAGCTAACAGTCTATTAGTAGGAAATTGGTTAAATAATGATGAATTCATAAAATGGAGTATCACATAGTCATTAAAATGATAATGTGGACATCTAGTGACATGAACATATCCATGATAAGTGAAAAAAATTATAAGATATCCCATATGGTTACATAAATATATGTATTTTATGTTTATATTCCATAGTAAAAGACCTAGAAGGATATATATAGATCATTTAATACCAAAATGTTAATGGTATTATCTCTGGGGAATTACGTTAATTTTTTTAGCCTGACAAACTGCTGCAAAGAATATAGTAGAAAGCTGAATACACCATTTCAAGTCCCATTGCCTTTTTTCCCCCCGGAAAACCTTTCTTAAACAGTGATGGTGGCCAATTTCTTTATTTACTACCCCACACTAAACAGGTTGGCTTCCAACCACATAAATCATTCTCTATTTACTTGTAAGTCTCCACTTAATGCATGAGGTGTCTCAAGGGCAGACTAAGCCACAGTTATACTCTGTGACTCAACAGCCTTTAATTTCCAGGACTGTCCTAAGTTCATGTCAAAAACCAATTTGTTCAATATTTTTTAACCCCTGTTGGATTTTCATATAAACAAATATATCGTTCTTGTTTTATATTTCCCAGTACAACTAACTGTAGGGTTGGACACAATTTCTCCCTTAGAAATGACCTCCTGACTACTGATAGTAAAAAAGCCTCAGAGATCCTGTCACAGTGGCCAAAATTAACTGAGTGATGCTGACATCTGTTTACCATGTTGACTATACCACATGGTAATTATGTGAGTTAAGGGGGAGGAGTTACTTTACTAACACCTATAGGGTCTAGAATGCAGATTAAAGTACATTTTCATCACCCCAGCTAGAGAGCCTCTGCTACAACCCCCTTTGTCAAACAGGAACCCTTTGGACAGGAAAGAACTAACCCCTCCACAGCCATATTCTGTCTTTGAAGCTGCAGCTGGCACAGATCTTGGATTTGGGATGTTCCCAGGATGTAGCTCCCCTAATCTCATCTCTGCAGCAGGCAGATACAAGCCCAGCTCCCCTTACAGGTCTCCAGAGGCCTAGGGAACCCAAAGGCCACCCAGACCGGTTTGGAGAGTCTGATGGGAACGAACCTGGGTAGAATGCCATGGGCCACAGCCGTCAAATACATCCACCTGCCTACCAATCCCCAGACCCCCTAGTCACTCGCTCTACAGAGGGGTCTCCCCAGGAACTGAGAAGTCTCTGGAGGGGAGGCGGCAATCCCTTAAACCCCGCGCGGCCCGCAAGATCCCCGCCTTCTCCGCTCCCTCCAGGCTGACCCCCGAGATCACTGGCCAACCCGCCGCTCCTGGGGCTAACCGTCACCCCGAGCGTTCCTGCTGGAAGGGAGAGGGGGCGCAACACTTGTTGGGGGAAAGGAATGCTGGGCGGCTCGGGCCTACCCAGGCCGCCCCCTCCCCATCTCCTTCCAGTCTCTCGGCCTTCGAAAACGCGAGGGGGAGCCTCCAGACGCCCAGCTTCTAGGGATCCATGGGCAGAGGGGAAGAGGAAGGGAGGCAGGTGGAGAGGGGGTTCCGCGCACGGGAGCGCACGGAGGCTGAGAAAGGGGCGTTCACGCGGGATTGGAGTCATTAATTTGGGGAGAAGAGTCCACCTTTGTTACTTGGAGCGCCCCACTCTGCAGTGAAGGGGGTTCCCTCGGTATATATAGAAGAGAGACCTGTGGGAAGGAGGGTACCCATTTTCATTAATCCTGGGGAGAGGGTTTGGAGACTCCCCCGCCAGGTTTTCCAAGAAGGGTCAGGGTCTCGGGGGTGGGATGGGGCTGGTAACCCTTTTACCAAATCTAGTGGTGGGTGTGAGGGTGTGTGAGCGCGTGCGTGCGTGCGCTCCCAGCCCGTCTTGGGAGCTCGAAGGGTTAAGACTTCCCTTTATACTAAACTGCGGACAGAGGGCCACAGCGCAAGACACCCATTGCTTGCTCAACCCACGCCCAGCGCCCCTCCATTTGCCCCTCCCCGTGAGGGGGTCTAGCCAGCCCGGGCATGCTGTACCCAAGCATCCAAGCTGCGAGCTCTCACCGGTCCTGGCTGCCGCGCTGACCAGGGTCGACAGGCGGAGAAGAGGGAGGCGGGGGGAGGAGGAAGAGGAGAAGGGAAGAACTCTCGTGGGCAGGGGCGGGAGCGGGACCCTGTTTCCTGCCCCGCCCAGGCTGCCGCCTTCCCCCGCCCCCGCCCCCCCCCTTCCTTCGCCCCGCCCCTTCCTCCGCCCCTCGCCTGCTCGCGTCTCCGACAGCGGGGCTGGGTTCGGCTCTCCCCGCCCGCGGCTGGAGGGAGCCCGCGAGGGCGCAGGGAGGCCTCTGGCCGCGCGCTCCGTGAAGCGCGCTCTCTACCCGCCCCCCGCCCCGCCCCGGCATTTTGGAGCCACCCTGACAGGCCCTGAATAGTTTACAGATGAGGAAACTGAGGCCCGTCCTATACCCTTGGCTTGAAGTGAGAGTGCCCAGGCCACCGCCGAGACAGGTGGACTGGCCTCTGAGCATGGGATTGCGCAGCGCCTTAGGGCTTCCCCTGCCTAAATACCTACACCTGAACCACCTCTTTTGGAAGCGTTCCTGGAGCCCAGGACACCCAAGGATGAGGTACGGCCTTGACCGGCAGGTTTTAGCCATTACTTCTCGCGCAGATATCATGAGCCAGCGAGACTCTTAAATATGGGTGAGGTTATTTTCTCCATTTTTTATAATTGAAAAAGTCTAAACCCAAGCCCCTCAGTTCCATGTCAGAGCCGGACACATGTTCCCTGGCCCCAAATCCGGCCCATAGAGTAGGGTTTCTCAGTGGCAGCGCTATTGACATTTTGGGCGGGAAAATTTTGTTTTCAGGGGATGGCCCTGTGTTTTGTAGAATGTTTAGCAGCGTCCCTGACTTCGACCCACTAGATGCCAGTAGTCATCCCCTTCCTCCCAGTTGTGACAACCAAAAATGTCCCCAAACACTGCCAAATGTCCTGTGAGGGGGCACAATCTTCCTGTTAAGAACCACTGTCCCTGTTAAGAACCATAGGGGTGCCTGGGTAGCGCAGTTGGTTAAGCAGCTGCCTTTGGCTCTGGTAGTGATCCCAGGGTTCTGGGATCAAGCCCCGCCTCTGGCTCCCTGCTTGGGGGGGGAGGGTCTGCTTCTTCCTCTCCCTTTCCCCCTCCCCGCGCACGCTCTCTCTCTCAAATAAATAAATCTTATATATAATATATATATATATACTGTCATAGAGCTACTGGTAAAGACGATGGCCTGGGGGCGGGGGCGTCCCGGGGTCCCAACAGTCCTGGGCCCTGATCTCAGGGCTGACTTTTACTGTGACCTCGGGTGAGTTAACGCTCCGGGCCTGGGTTTCATCTGTAAAATGACAGGCCTGAGCATTGGCCTGCTACTGCATAGTTCTCAGGTATTTTCCATCCAAGGACCTCGGTGGACCTACCTTTCCTCTGTGACCTACGTCCATAGCAGCCTGGGAAACAGTCACGGGGTTTTAGTGAGGACCGATGCAAATATAGCTGTAAAGAAGTTAGTATCTAGGGCGCCTGGGTGGCTCAGTCGTTAAGTGTCTGCCTTCAGCTCAGGTCATGATCCCAGGGTCCTGGGATCGAGCCTCGCATCGGGCTCCCTGCTCCGCGGGAGGCCTGCTTCTCCCTCTCCCACTCCCCTTGCTTGTGTTCCCTCTCTCGCTGTGTCTCTCTCTCTCAAATAAATAAATAAAATCTTAAAAAAAAAAAAAAGTTAGTACCTATCTGGAGTATAGGAGGGACTCAAAAAGATTCGATGGTGCAGTCTTCTACCCACTAATACCTCTAGAATTAAACAGGCTGGTGGATAAAGAAATAAGCTTGGGGACAATAATAATAAAAAGAAGCTAAGGGATCCTGTCCAATTCCACAAGAGCCAACAAAAAAGGGGAGCTAATGGTGGAGATAGGACATGGACAGATAAATGCCCCTAAATTCTTAAGTTTCAGGCAGCCCTGTGTGGATTCATGCATTTTATTCTGCTGCAGTATGATGGGTGCCCCACCTAAAATGTTGTGGGGTTTTTTTTTCCCTTTAGAACAAAACACTACAACTGTCATTCCCTGGTAGGCATTGCTTTGGAAAGCTGAATTGGGGCCTTCCCCAGAATTTTTGTTCAAGGGTGCCATCTAGGGGTGCCTTTGTGAATTCTCTACTACTACCCCCCCCCCCCCCCCCCCCCCCCCCCCCCCCCCCCGTCATTGCAGGGACAGCCAGGTTTTGCTTTTTTCTTGTGTGTTGGCTGCCTTTTCCACCATATTATGGGTTCCCTGATGGCTGGGATCTTAGCTTTCTCCATATCATCAGGACTCGGCTCATGACGACCATTGATGGCTCAATAAAATAAAGCTATGTGCAGCCTCTTCTGTGCTTTTCAAAGGTTACTTACTCTGGCTAAGCAACCATTTCAGGTCTTAGGAAAGACCTACCAGGAGCACTGGGCTCTGAATAAGAAATGTGTGAAAATTTCCCAGCAACACATTGAGACCCTAAGCTGTTAATATCACAGAGAGGGAGAACACCCAGATTCTAGCTGACCTCTTCTCCCCAAATTGCCAGACTTAGCAAATTAAAATCCAGGACACCCAGTTAAAGTGAAGATAACTTTTTTAATGTAAGTATGTCCCAAATATTCAATACTCACACTAAAAAATTATTTGTTGTTTACCTGAAATTCTAATTTTACTGGGCATCCTGTGTTTTATCTGGCAACCCTGTGTACTTGGAATTGAGGGATTGAGGGACTTGAAGCCTGCATCCATCTTGGGAATTATCAAACAGAAAGTTAAGTCAGACAATTCTGGTGCAGATGAAGTGGCCAGGGGTTGGATTGGGGCTGGGAGGGGGAGGGCATGGCATTTTCATTCTCCTTAGTAGATATTTTATTTATTTTCTATCTTTCTTCAGACCATATGTAGGTTTTTGGTTAAAGCTGGGGAGCAGATTCCATAGTCAGGCTCAAATCCCAACTTTGCTACCAACCTAGCTGAGTGACTATGGCAGGTTACTTAACCTCTCTGTGTCTCAGTTTCTTCAGTTATAAAACTTGAGATAATAATTGTATTTATTTTCTGGGTTGTTTAGTGGATTTAGAAATGATGCTCATTAAATGCTTAGCACAGTACCATATAGCTCAATACGTGAAAGCCATAATCATTGTTTTGATATTTTTGAACACAGGTAGACTTAAAGTACACTAACTTTCAGATGGAGACATGTCTCCTACTCACCCATGGGGTCATGAGCCTCATTAGCATCCTACCAGTCTCTTTCTACTTACTCACTTTGTTGAGTTACAGCTGCTGGTTTTTGTGGGACATTGGGTTTCATGCCGCATTATAGGAGGCCTGGTAATAACCCCATTTCTGTCTAAACCCAAGTTTCAAACCCTGTCACTAATTCATTTATTCCAGATACTATTTGAAACTGTATATAGTATGGTGTCTAAATGTGGTATATGTCTGATTGGATAGGAGCTCCCAAATGTGGGGTGACGATCAGGTGGAAGCTGGTGGCACAGGAGTTGAAAGGATTTCCCTGAGGCAGAACAAAGGAGACAGAAGTTTATTGAATAGACCACAAGGGAGGGATGGGTGGGAGTGCAGCAGAAGCAGCGGGTGGGGGCTGTTTTTAAAGGCAAAGGTAGGGAGGTGTGGGAACATACAGAATTCTCCCCTTTTTGGTAACAGTGCCTGGTTGTAAGTAGCCCATTGGTTAGTTAGGGCCTATGGATATTTTGAGGTGGGTCATCTGATGGGCCTGTCTGTATTCAGCCAGGGGGTCGCTGTGGGCCCTGCCTACATTCCATTGCTCAAGCCTGTTTGCCTAAAAGCAGCCCCTACCTATATGCCTGATGATAGTACAAATATAAGAGATGAGCAACCACAAGGTTATTTTGAAAGTATGGAGTGCCCAACTTTGAGGAAGAAGTAAGAAAAAGGAGCAAGGGAAGTACTTGGTGCCATGCAGTGCTCATGGTAGGATCTCAGAAATGTTTGTGTTCAGGGCAGGTCCTTTGTGGAAAGAGCACTGGACTCGGGTCATGAGGACGGGCTTCGACTTGGACCCGTGTTTCTTAGGAGTCGCCTCAACTTGAGAAAGTTATGTATCTTGCTCGGTTTTTATTTTCTCATCCACAAAATGGGAACAACATGGAGTTTGGGGGGGAAATTGAATAAAATAACAGATATGCAAGCATGGCACCCCAAAAGAGCTCAGTAAGTCTAGCTTGGTTTTGAGAGAACTTTGAAGGCGACCAAGTAACACGTGCTTTGAATAATTGGGCAGCAGCTAATATTGTAACCAGTAAGTACAAATGTGTGCGAGTGTGTGTGTGTTTCTGCATTTATAATAAGGATTACATTAGCCACAACATCTATAGAGTGCCTCTTGTATCGGGTCACCAAGCCATCCCACTTTGCCTAGGACTGAGGGGGTTCCCAGGATGCAGGACTTAAACTGTTAAAACCCAGACAATCCCAGGCAAACTGGGACGAGTTGGTCGTCCGCCCCCCCCCCCCCCCCGGCGGTGTGCAAATTGCTTTACAGACATTATCTCATTAAACCTTTAAACCTACCCTATGAGGTGGGTACTCACATTGTTGCCATTTTACATTTAAAAAGGACACTTAGAGAGATTAAGCAACTTGCTCGAGCCACTTAGCTAATTAATGGGAAGGGCGGGATCTGAACCCAGCTGTGTCCACCCCAAGACTTTAACCACCATGCTATTTGCATTTAGACTTCACCAAAGGCACAGTCTTTCATTGCCACTCACCTCCACATTCCCGGATCATTGCTAACACCCTCCCATCTCCCCTTCTGTCATCAACGATTTCTGCTGCCCAGCCAGGCCTCCAGCAAAGGAAGACACCAGCTGAGTCAAGCCCAGTCTTGTATCTGGGCACAGCTGAGGCCCCTCCTTCCTTAGCAACAGACGCTGAATCCTGGTTACGGGCCCCAGGGCCTAGGTGCAAGCAAGCACCTACAATGTTAAAACAGCCCAGAGAAGAGGAGAGAGAAGATCTCAGGCTGCCAGGGTATTGTTTAGCGGGGTGTTTCCTCCCTCTTCTCTGTATTAATATGTAACTATGCTTCAGTTTTTCCTCTCTTGGAGCTGCTCAGTGGAAGGGAAGACTGGCCAGA